GCGCCGCGGGGAGGGGCCGGGCGCGGCCGGCAGCGGGGGCGCCGAGGGGAGGCCCGGGGCGAGGGGGCGCCGAGGGCGGGGCGGGGGAAAGAGGCGCCGGGGGAAGCTCAGCGGGGTGCGGGGCCATGGCGGAGCCCGGGGGGAACTCGGGGCTCTGGGAGCGCCGAGGGGACAGTGGGGGGGCGAGGCTCTAGGGACGCCTTGGGGAGCCCCGGCGGTACGAGGCGGAGGGGAGCTCCGAGGGGCCGGCGCGGGGCGGTAGCCGCGCTGAAGGGGCCCGGGGGGACAGGCGGTCGCGACACTGAGGGGCGTCCCGGGGAAAGGACACACGGGGCGGTGTGTCCGCCTGACGGCCGCGCCGCCGGAGGGTCTGGCCGGGCCCGGCCCCCGCCGTTACCTGGGGCTGAGCGCTGCAAGCCTTTCCCTTCTCTTTTATTTTGTTTTCTTCGCACAGCCAGACTGCAGCTCGTGAGAAGTATGCGAGGCGTGGGGTTGTGGTTTTTTGGTTTTTTTTTTTTTTTGGTCAGCGCTCGTAAGCCCGAGTCGCGCCCCTGCAAACTGAGAACTTCCTTTATGGGGAAGATTTTTCTCACGTAAAGGCTGCGGATACGGAGTTGTAAAGGTTTTAGTAAAAACATACAGAGGAACAGATTCCATAATCTTAAAGTTTGTTTAAAACACAAAGTCTTTGTTACTTTCATGTTTTAAAAGAAGAACTTTCAGAATCTTAGGAAACAAAAATATAAACCCTAAGAGTCAGTTAAACCTTTAGAAGCAAATCTCTATTTCTTTTCACAAGCTTTCTTACACGTGTTTGCACTGTGAAGTATTTTGGTGGAAAGATCCTGGTCCATGCCTGGGCAGCACTGAAGCTATTAAGCTGGCCTGACAGGTTACCTAGGGATTCTCTTACCTAGGGATTCTCTTGCCTTGGAAAGCCTTTTGTTAATGTAAAGCTGATGTGGCTGTTTTCTGCCTCCTCCCCTGTGGCTGGTGTTGCATAAAGTAAACACGGTGTGGCCAGAGCGAAGGTGAGCTTTGACCAGGGCCGCCTGCTTAGATGGTTTCTGGCCAATGGTCGGGGGCCATTCAATTTAAGGAAGCTTAATAGCCTTTTGAATAATCAGGGTGCTGTGCTGGCCCCTCGCAGAAGCCATGGTCAAAGGAGGTACAAAACGGCAAGTTCTTTATGAGTGCCACCCCTTATTCTCTCAAATTCACAGTCAGCTCTACAGTTCCTGAGAGTCCCAGTCATAACAATTATTGGGTAAATAAAAAAAAGAAGGATGGATCCTGCATCTAGGAGGTTGTCCTGTCATGTGAAGGTGTTTGTAAATGCCCATACAGCTTGTGTATTTACATAGAAAGCCAGGCGGAGCGCAGGTAAATAATTGCTGCTAAAATGCTATTACTTTCAGTAAATACAAACTAATATTTGCTGCTCATCACAATATTTACTGAGGAAGCCAGAAGAACCAGAACCAATGTTTGTTCCCAAAGAGGATTTCATGCCAGCTGCCAGAAACAACTCTACTCATCTCTTTCCCTGTAATGGTCCTCTGCCTCTTCTTGGCATAAATGTTTTGGATAATATAACTCTTCACTATTTGTCTCTGAATCTTACCTCTATTTCCACAAGGGAAAAAAAAAAAAAAAAGAATAATAAATAAGAAATGTTAAAATGGCTATAAACAGAAATATATGTCTCCACAAGCCATAAAGGGGATTAGGCATAATTTGCTATTGTAATGTTGCCTCTGGTCTAACCATTTCCTTTGGAAAAAAGCATGGAGTTAAAATACAGTCTAATGACCCAAGCAACATATTTCTTATGCTAGTAGTTTAGATCAGAACCAGCTCCAGCTACTCCTGGTAAGTTACATATGTGATTCATTAGATTTCACCCAAGTCAAAAGTTAACATTGTAACACTTGTTTTAAAAGATAAAATATGCAATCCCATAGGAAGCAGGCTACTATGGAAAACAGCTGGAAACATTCCCTGGACAGATGCATAGCTTATATTCAGATTTATCAATAAAATACGTATTAACAACATTCATCCTTCTTAACCACTTGGAACAGGGAGCACTGAGTGTTCTGCAGAAAAAAAAAAAAACAAACTGGTTTCTACCTACCGAGGTTAAAGGATTAATGAATACTTGGCACATGAAAAATGAATAGTGATAGCAAGAAGAAGATTGCATGTAGACAGTGTGATAAGGTGCGTAACAGAGAAACATCACATTATACACCTTGCTGTGCCCTGAGAAAAAGACAAAGCTCATTTCCATTGAATTTCAGATAAAATATTTTAAAACATCAATATTTATTTTGTCATACTTAGAAATATTTTATTCGTTTATATAAAATATCTAAAGAAATCATCCAGAAGAGGGGTTGGCTGACTGACATTGGGTGATAAAATTTGTTCTTCGTGAATTTCATTATGTGCTGTGTTGGCTGTTTACATGGTCTATTGCCTGCTACTAAAAACTATTACCTATATACATGAATTTGCAGGGCAGTATCTAAAGCAAAAAAAAAATATGTGGCTACATTTGCAAGAGGAATGTATTACATGATTATATATCAATAGATTGATACAGAAGTAGGAATATTACACATTAGTATTTGATATATAACACAGATTTATAGAGAAATGTAGTTCTCAATCACATGCTTTTATGGAAAACCTGTCCTACTAAATCACCATCTTGGCTCACTCCATACACCTGACCCCTCTGTTTCCAGTCTCCTCTAACTTAACAAAGCTGAGCATATATAGTCTATTTGAAAATGTTCTGGCTTACATTTTAACACAGAAATACTTTGTAAGCATTTAGTATTTCTCAAGATTTAGAAAGTTCTCTGTTATTTTTGTTATTCTTTTTTTTCCTTGAAAGAAGAAACTTTAATTATATTTCCTCTGAATCAACAGGAGTTTTCAGCATTTTTTCAGAAACACAGCCCTAAATTTTGAAACAGGAACCTTAACAGTGTATTGCCATATATTATTCTAAAATTAGAAATTCGTACTTTTGAAACCAGGAGAACAAATCAGCCCACAGACCATTTTTGGTTGCTTGTTTTTCCTAAAGCTCAACAAGTACGTTTTTGTGTGATTTTAGACTTTTTCTGTAGTTCTTCTCCAATTCTGCCCTATTACCTACAGAGCAGTACTACTGAATCACTTTTATAGAGTCCAACTGCTTACAATATCAGGTGACTCTTTCCAGTCTTCCTGTAGCTGTTCTTCCCTAATGGAGTTTCCTAAAACTTACCAAAAACAAGGTACTACAAAATTTCCCATTAATGTTCCTTAGCCTCTGATCTTTCCTGGTTTTGTTCTTCACTGATAGAAAATTTTCTTAATTTTCTTCTTTGTTTTATAATTTTATCTTAGATCCTAATCCATGTGCAAATAAATAATACTGTTCAATGCAATTTAGCAACTTCTACCTTTAGGCATGCATTAAGGTTATTTTTTTATTAATAATTGATCATTTTTCAAAATGGAGAATGGCACCACCAGCAGAGAGCACACTGGAACCTCAAAACAAAAGAAAACAGAAAATCAACAGCATATTTTAACAATGTCTGCCTAAAACACATAAAAATACTTCTGAAACACATCAGTAATGTCCTGAATATTGAGAGATTTTGTAATTTAAATTAGCACCAGTTATAAAAAAAAATCACTTAAGTTACCTATTGTTTATTCCATTTCAGATTGTATTCAATTTTCTAATTCAAATAAACAACACACCAAAAAAAATCAACCTTACTACCCAAACCAAAACCTAAATGCATTTTTATTTGGGATGCATGGTTAGACAAAAGCTTTAACAAATTACATGATGCATTTTAGAAGACAGATTGTGTTCATTTGCTGAACTTAGAGAAACCTTTGGGTTGACAGATAATCAATTCAAATACCTACAGCTGAGGGATTGTATTGCTAATTCCTTTCACAAGCCTTCCCTTTTGGATACAGGCAAATAAACGTGTTTTCTTTGCCAAGGAATTGACCACACCAGTAGATACAACCTTTCAGGTATGGTTGCTGTCTTGCAATCCAGCCTGTGATTATCTGCCAAGTGCTTCCTCCACTCTTTCTCCATTCAAACTGGTGTTTAGCTCTACATGAATATGTGGACCTTGCTCCTTTATCTGACAGCTGCCATCAAGCATGAGAGTAGAGACTCTTTTGGGCCAGGACATCGACTTCTGTTCCTTTGAATCTACTTAGGAAGTGTTTGAACATGCATGGCACTCTGCCATCGAATGCTATGCTTTGTAGTCAACTTCTAGGTGGCTATTAACCAAGGCAGTCAGTCTAAAATGTGGAAGCAAACTATCAAGCATCAGGGTTGTATTTCACACGCCTCACTCGAACATCAGCAGTAGTATTCCTTGGGTATGAATGTTGGAGATTTTGTGTCTTTTTTCTGTATGCCATATAAACAAATTGTTTGTTCTTAAACAGGCTATCAGGAAATCTTTCCTTCAGCCCACTGACATTAAACCCCTCCTAAAAATACACAACCTAGCTCATTGCATAAATGGTAGTGTTAGTGTAAACAATGAAGCCTCTATGATACAATAAAGTATATAACGGAGAGTAGTTCAGTTACACTACACAAGAGAGGAAAATTATAATCTGATATAATTAATATGTGTGTGTTTTTCTCCAGGGACAGAGATCAAAATATTCAATTTGCCAGATTTAGACTAGTGATATTGCCAAGGCACATATTCTAGGAAAGTGGGGCCACAAAGTATTAAT